CCCCCCCCGGCAGCACCACCCCTCACACTGGACTTGCTCGGGATTTGTTTGTACCATCCGGGGCAGCCGCAGACGCCCGTTGAGAGCCCTTCATGCCCTGATGGTGCCCTTCCCGGCCAGCTCACTGTCGAACCCAGAGCTGCTAACCATTTATTTTATTTTAATTTTTAAATTTATCTTTAAATTTATACCCCGCCCTCCCCGAAGGCTCAGGCTATGCACTGTGCAGCCAAGCCCACCCTAAGTTTATGTGGCACACCAGGTTAGGTTTTCCTGGAACAGGTGACGCACCACAGAGTGACTGATGCGTCCCTTTCCCTTGACAGACAGTTGCCGAGTTCAGATTGGAAAGTTCCTGGAGATTTGGGTGAAGGTCCAACTCAGTAAGACACAGGGGGTGCGGTCAGACGGCATGCTGAGGGCGGGTTAAACGGCTCCGGTTCTGACCGGATTACATTTGATCTGGATAATCCGGGCCCCACTTACCTCCCTTATCCCGCCTCACCGCGCCGTCACGTCGCTCCCCAGCGTTTACATTACCGACGCGCGGGAGCGTGTGTTGGCGGGTTTTTAATTTTTTTCCCCTCAGTTTGCACATGCGCATAGGCGCTCATCTGTAGAATGGGGGGACGAAACTACCATGGCGCATGCGCAGAACCACCAGGGCGAATCAATCCAACCCCTCCAACAAAAGACTTCCCTTTAAACGTTTGACCTGAAAATGGCCTCCGTGAGATCCTGAACTCATCTAAACTCTAAAACAAGTGACCGTTTAAATGTTGGTTTTCTAAACACGGTAGCGGAGCTCCGCCTATGCATGCACCGCCAACGCTAAAAAAAATGGCGGGCGAAAAGCAGACACCTCGGGCAGCTTTAGAGCCGGGAGGGGGTTTAAACTGGAAGTGGCTTGACACTGGAGGAGTGATCACACAGGGGGGAAATGCGGCTTTAAATGGGAGAGCTGAGAAAACACCACTTTGGGACCTGGTAACAAAATACTCCGAGATAAAGGGGTTTTGAGCTGGAAACCAACAGCTGGGGACAGGAGGCAGATGTTGACTGTGTGATCGTGCAGATAAAATCTGTTTCTGAAGCGTGACGAAAGCTGGTCAAACAGCCCGTCTGAACGCATCCAGGGAGGGGATAACAAACTTGACCCAAAACTGGAGTCAAGAACCACAAGGGTAAGAAAGAAGTCTAATAAATGGCCAATATTAAAAACCTAGTTTAAACTTATAATATACAAAAATGCGTGTATTTATTAGAAAGGCAGTTAAAAACAAATAAGGGCCCAATGAAAGCCTCACTGAAAAGTTCAAGTGGCCTGAACACAAGGGCCAAGACACCTGACCTGATGCGTTTCCGTCCTATTGGTCAAACAGTTTGAGGTACACATTACAAGATTACATATTACAATAAGATAACCAATAAGTTAATACTGGACCAAGAAAAGGAAGGCTGTAGAAAAAAGAAAATTGAATATGAATAATCAAATATTCAATAATCAAATTTTGATTACAGTGTAGTATATTACTTAAGCAGCAAAATCAATAGACCCAAAACAAAGATGCTTGTGATCCCTCTAAAGATGAGAGTCATCTTTTTATTTTTCCACAGCCCTTCTTTTTCTTGGTCCAGTATTAACTTACTGGTTATCTTATCGTAATATGTGATACTAATAGCAAAGCCCATTGTAAAAGGAATACAACGAGCGCTAGCAAGATCTCGGTCTGGCCCTCCTCCTTGGCCACCTTGTCGTCTATGGTGCCGGTCCTCGTCCGCTCGCAGCCTGCCCTGCCAGCTGCAGACATCTGCGGATGGCGACAACTGGTGCAGCAGCGGCATGGTCAGCCTCGGCCTCCTTACTGTTTGGCCACCAGATCGTTGGGCCTGTGTTGCCTCGCAGCGCACTGAGGGCCAGAGGCTGGCCGCCGCTTCCATGGGCTCGCAGCCCAGCCGGCTCCCTGCATCCTGGTGCAGCCGATGATGACCGGTGTGGTGCCATGTTCGACCTTGGCCTCCTAAGCCTCCACCTGGCGGAGCGTCCATCCCCTTCAGCGGCTCCCTCCAGACTGAGGCTGAGAAGCTGGCCGCCGGCTCTGTGAGTGGGACTGAGGCAATACAGTGAGGCAATGCAGCCAGGGGATTGGCACACCTTCCGAGTGACAGATAAGGCAGCCAACTGATTTGGGAGCGCATGAAACGTTGCCACCCAAAAACAGAATTATATATAAGGAGAGATTATAATGGGTACCTCTAACTGTTTGACCTCTGAAGAAGGCCCCCAATAGGGCAGAAATGCATCAGATCATGTTTTGAAAGTCCATCTCAGCCAACAGAACATGTTCAGGATACAGCCTGCCAAATTTGTGGAAGTGTCTATGTTTGCTACTTCTGTGGCTCACCACCAGAAAGGGAATTTGCACCCGGAGCTGGTGGCACAAGGCTCGAGCATGGCTGCCGGGGCACCACCAGTCTTTACCCGTGTTGAAGAAGATGGTGGAAAGGAAGGTGCAGTTCTTGAAGAAAGTATTGCTGGACGTGATGTCTTCAAAGTAGCACTCCTCAAACAAGGTGTCCACAAAGGAGACCGACTTCATCTTGAGGCCTATGAACCTGCCCAAGAGAAAGGCACCCACTAGAAGCTGCTTTGGGGGAAGGGGAGGTCATGCGTTCCCCCCCCCACACCCACCTATACAGCTGTCTTCTTCAATCATAAGACAACAGAAGCAGAGACCAGAAAGACGACAGAAGCAGAGATCAGCAAGAGCTGGAAACCCACACCACCACCCTGTGTCCCCATCCACTCGCGTGGTCTCCGTGGGTCCCCCAGTTGGCAATGCTGAGCACCTACTTGTCGTTAAAGTATTCCCCACGGCTGTGGATCTGGTTCTCCAAGGTGAAGTTGAAGGTGAAGTGGTGCACTTGCTCCCGGTCAATGACCTTGGTGCGGGAGGCGTACTCCAGATTCTGCAGGTGCTTGATCATGTCCGGGAACCAGACAGTCAAGCCGTAGTAACTGTTGGAAGAAGTGAGGGGGGGGGGGAGAGAGAGAGAGAGAGAAGGCTCGCCTGCTCTTTGGGGACTTTGGCTCCCCCGCCAGACGAGGCCCCTTGTGGAGGGGAAGCGGCTGCCATCGGTTGAATGGATCCACAGGATCCATCCCAGTGGTTTCCCACCTTGCCTCTGTGACGCCTGACAGGCAGGAGTTCTGTAATTCTGCCGCAATTCAAGCGTGAAATGCTTTTTCATTCATGCTACAAGGTGTGTGGCGCAGGGGGACTCAAAGGCCACGGACTGGTGCAGCGATGCGAGAAGCTGGGCTCGCTGTGCGGCCTGTCGCTTCTCTCCGGGCCAAGCAACGCCTCTGCAGGCAGATGTCGGGGGCGGGAAGGAGCGTGGCGCCGGAGCTGCCACAACAGTTGGAACGGCTACATAGCATCGCTGGTCTCAGCGGGCATCCGGGAGCTCCACATCCCATTGTGCAAAGCCAGGATACTCTTCCGGCCCTGTGAGGGAGTTCTCAGGCTCAGTTTTGAAACTGATCCCAGGTTCGGACCCCACGGATCGGGGCCAGCCTCCGTGCTTTCCTGCAGCAGCAGGAGTCTTGATGCAAGATGCTCCTTTGCACCGGCATCGAGTATCAGAGGCCAATTCCTTGTACCAGAGGAGAGCAGCATGGCTAGTGACACGGGTCTGTGGGAGCCGTCCCATCGTAACACCCTGACTTGGAGATTGTGCTTCGGCTCCTGAGGGGGAGAAGTTCAGTCTCAGCCTGGTCTGGCCTTCGGCTCAGCTTGGACGGCAGCTTTGAGGGAGCAGACAGGTGGGGCTCCTATTGCCACAGACTCCCGGGCATCCCGGCTCCTATAAACCGTGGTGGACAGCCAGGAGGGTAACAGTACCAAAGACCAGTCCCAAGGAGGGCTGGGGATTTCTCCACCACCACAGGAGGGGGGAAGTCAGTCCCATCCTGAGGCCCACGACCTCCAGGGATAGAGAGGGTGTGTGTAGGGGACAGAGGAATGGCGTTTTAAACCCTGTTTATTTTCTGTGCCCAGGATGTGTTGATGTGCATGTGTATACGTTCTGTGCCTAATACGTAAAGGTAAAGGTTCCCTTGCTCGAAAGCCAGTCGAGTCCGACTCTAGGGTTGCGGTGCTCATCTCCGTTTCAAAGCTGAAGAACTAGCGCTGTCTGGAGACATTTCCGTGGTCATGTGGCCGGCATGACGAAACACCAAGGCGCACGGAACGCTGTTCCCTTCCCACTGAAGTGGTACCTATTTATCTACTTGCAGTTTCTTGCTTTCGAACTGCTAGGTTGGCAGGAGCTGGAACTAGAGACAGGAGCGTCATGCAGCACACTCGGGTCTCAAACTGCTGAACTACCGACCTTCCACAGCCTGCAGTTCAGCGTCTTAACCACTCGAGCCACCGCAGCTCCACCTAATATGTATATAGTTCAAATAAACCTTTAAGACCTGGTGTGCCTTGACCACTTAGTCCTCCCCGCCCGGCACATTACCAGAAGTGAAAGAAGGGCCAGGGAACCCAAACGGGCCCAAATCAGAGGGGTTGCCAACTCTCCAGGGGGCACCCAAAGATTGTGGTACCAACTTCCCACGGTCGGGGAATCAGCCAGAGGGGTCTCACTGTCCCTCTAGGAAGGCGGTGTAAATCCAGTGAGTGGTGGCAGCGTGTAACAAAGGGAAATAGCCCCACCGGGAAGGGTGGGAAGGCAAAAACAGGGGCTTGCGAGCCACAGAACGGCTGCTCAGTCTCCCAGGGCTGAGGGCGGGTCCCCGTTTCGCCACACAGTCCCACCGACCTCACAGGGTGTCTGTTGTGAGGAGGGGAAGGGAAAGGAGATTGTCAGCCGCTCTGTGTGAAGAGTGGGGTTTAAATCCAATCTCTGCCTGTCTGTCTGTCTGTCTCTCTCTCTGTCTCTGTCTCTCTGTGTCAGGGAGAAGTCTCAGCCGAGCCGGCCGGCTTTCCCACGTGTGCTGTTTCAGTGGGTGGGGAGATTCAGGATTTGAGAATCTTGCTATTCGTGTTTGGAAGCTGGACGCTTCTAGTCCTCATGGCGGTGAAGCTCTTTTTGAGACACAGAGACAGTGGGGCTGGCTAGAGCATTTACACGTTGAGAATGACTCCCAGCTGGAGTCTCCCGCTGTAGCCCCGCCCCGCCCCAGTGCCCCACCTGAAAGACATGGTGAACCACACGGCCATCATCATCAGAGTCACTCGGCGATACTCGGGAGCGAAGCACTGGTGAAAATTGGCCCAGACCTGGAAACAGCAAAAACAGCAACAACCAAACCAGAGAGTTATCTCCAGGAAGGGAAAGAGTTAAAAATCAGTGCGGGTTTGTGCAGTTTTACACTCTTGTGTGACACGAACCCAGAACCCATCTGCCCCTCTTGCATCTCTACTGTCCTCATTGCATCATCCATCGCCTGCTACATGGTCACGGAATGTTTGCTAACATTCTAGTGGCTCAGGATGAAAACCATTAGCCATGAGACACTGCAGAGCTGCGGAGCCTCTGCGTGGAAAGCAAAAAGGGAGTTTTTCTCCGAGCCCACGGAGGCGCCATTCTAGGGGTCTGCATCACATATTCCCTCTCTGGTCCCCACACCTACTTGCTGCGAAAGGTTCAAAGAACGGACCATCCAGCGTCGGTACCAAGTCCCCGTGTCAGACTGGATCTCCACTAGTTCATCCTCCTGTTTGATAGTCTTGATATGGGTCACCTGTAAGAAAACACAGGGAAGGGAACGTAAGATGCCACTCTTACTGATCTAGGGAGTCGTTACCGGCTAAGTATCAGGAGAAACTTCCTAACTGTAAGGGTTGTTGGGCCGTGGAACAGACTGCCTTGGGAGGTGGTGGATGCTCCTTCACCGGAGGTTTTCAAGTGGAGGCTGGGCAACCATCTTTTGGGTATGTTGTAGGGCTGTCTTTCGGCTGTGCTCCTGCAGAGTGCAGGGGGTCGGACTAGATGACCTGCAAGGTCCCAGTTCCAACTGTAACATTCTATGATTCTATGGCCCCGGTCACACGGGCCAGATAACGCGGGGGGGGCGGAGGCGTGGCTGTTCGCCCCGGAGCAAAATAAAGCGTGGTAGCCCGATCACACGGTCCCCCAAGTCTCCGTGCTTAGGCTGTTAGCTGGCGATCACACGGCAATGCTGCAGCGTGGCAAAGAAGCGCGTGGCGTGATCACACAAGCGTTTCGCGTTTGTGCGCATGCGCAGTTCCGTGGAGCAGCACTGCTTTCAGTTTCGTGTTTGTACGTGTGTGCTTACGAAAAACATCAGGTTTGTAATGGGACATGGACGGGCGCCGGATGCCACGGGATACTAGCGCTCCCGCGATCAGACGCCCGCCCCTGCCCCACATTTTCCGGATACTAAGCACTTTCCGCAGTACTTTTTTACTGTGCATCTTCGGAGGGACGCCACGGGTGCGCTATGCTCCCCAGATGTTGCGGTGTGATCGCGCCCCGAAAATCTGCCTGACATTCGTGCCTTTCGCGCAGCAAATCCTCCATGTGACCGCGGAGCCTATGATTTGTATTATGGAGTGGGATCGGGGCCAGTTCCAGGCTTGCATGGGCCGGAGGCTGCAGAATGCAACCAGGCCCCCTTTCCCATTTAGTATGGCCGGTTTCTCCTCTAACAACACCCCTTCCAGTTGGCCCCTCTCGTTCGGTTCCACCTTTTTTGTCAACCATTCCACTTTCCATTCCAACTTTGCTTGCTCTGGTAAAGAGAGATCGTATGAAACTGTGCTTTCTTAGATCAAGATGGGTAGCCGTGTTAGTCTGTAGCGGCAGGAAAGAGTAAGAGTCCAGTAGCACCTTAAAGACTTGTGGTAGTGTACTGGAGACCAAGAAGCCCTATGAGGAAAGGCTGAGGGAACTGGGAAGGTTCAGTCTGGAGGAGAGGAGGTGGAGGGGGGACAGGATGGTTCTCTTGAAGTATCGCAATCTAAAGGACTACAACATGATACACAACTCAATAGAAAATCCTTGAACCAAGGTACATAATCACATAATCAACGTCGTCTCAGATAGGACACTGATCTCAATTAACATTCAAGCTCAAAATGTGCTGCTGTTTCTACTGGATCCCAGAGAGAGACGCCCGGGATCCAGTAGAAACATAGCAGCATATTTTGAGCTTGAATGTAAATTGAGATCAGCGTCCTATCGGAATTTAATATTCTTAAGACCTGTTGTCTAACATTTATGACACTGAGAGCTTTGGCACCACTATAATATCTCCTGAAGAAGATCCATTTTTTTTGAAACGCTGTTATGTAATCCGGAGACGACGTTGATTATGTGATTATGTACCTCGGTTCAAGGATTTTCTATTGAGTTGTGTATCATGTTGTAGTGCTTTAGACTGCAATACATAAACAGCATTCTTTATAAGTCTTATGACTGTTTGATTGTGGGTCAGACTATCACGACTGTTGGCTTTATACTTGTTTAACTGATTGGGTCGTGTGTGTCCAGATTTTTTTTGTCTCTTGAAGTATCGGAAGGGCCCTGTCACTTGGAGGAGGGCTGGGAGCTGTTCCTCTTGGCAGCAGAGGAGAGGACTGGCAAACCTGGGTTTAAATGAAGGGCAGGAAGGTACCAGCTGGATATTAGGAAAAACTTTTTGACAGAGTCGTGCAGCAGTGGAATCAGCTGCCTGGGGAGGTGTGGTGAGCTCCTCCTCCCTGGCAGTCTTTAAGCACCGGCTGGACAAACACTTGTCAGGGATGTTCTAGGCCAGGGGTGTCAAACATGCGGCCCGGAGGCTGGATCAGGCCCCCAGAGAGCTTCTAAGAAGAAGAAGAAGAAGAGAAGAGATGGGATTTATACTCTGCCCTTAACTACCCAAAGGAGTCTCAGAGGGGCTTCCAAACTCCTTTCCCTTCCCCTCCCCACAACAGACACACCCTGTGAGGCAGGTGGGGCTGAGAGAGCTCTTGACAGGAACTGCTCTTTTTTCAAGAACAGCTCTCATCAGAACTGCGGCTTGCCCAAGGTCATCCAGCCAGGTGCAAGTGGAGGAGTGGGGAATCAAACCCTGTTCTCCCAGATTAGAGTCCGCACACTTAACCACGACACCAAACTAGATGTCTTCTGCTTCTGCTTCCAGTTCTGCTGCTGCTGCGTCATCATAGGTTTGCTGCTTGCAGAGACACACCTGAACAGCGTACTCAGGATTGCAACAGCACAGACATTTTGATGCAATAATTCAGAGCAAGAGGGGTCAGTTATCAGACACTGTTAAAGAAGCAAAATATTGCAAGAGTGCTCATGTTTTAAGCCTGTTTTTATTTTAGGGGGGGGGGGACCCTTTGTGTCTGTGTCCTTTATAAAGTTTATATCTCCTCTACTTGGCATTACATTTTATGACACACATGGCCTGGCCCAACAAGGTCTCATTTATGTCAGATCCGGCCCTCATAACAAATGAGTTTGACACCCCTGCTCTAGGCTGATCCAGCACTGAGCAGGGGGTCAGACTAGATGGCCTGTAGGACGCTTTCCGACTCTGTGTGATTCTATGATTCTTGTGTAGGAGCTTTTGTGAGTCACTGCTCACTTCTTCAGGTATCTTAAAGGTAGACTTTAAGGCGCTACTGTGCTTTCTTAAGTTAATTTTATTACTCTGTATAAAACCAGGCAGAAGCAACTGTGCCTACCATGATTTTTTTTGGAGCACTATTTAATCAAAGTGGCAACATCTGAGTAAACACAATAAAAATATTGTTCTGGAGGAACCGCGAACTCAAGGTTTATGGAAAAGTTCCCCCACTCTCATCACTGGAAGTGAGGGGGGCCAATCCTGTTCCTCCAAAAAGCTTGGGCAACTGAACAATCACAACGTACTGAAGATGTTCATAAGGGAACTTAATTTTATCGCCCAACACTGGATCAAATTAGTTACCTCTTTGATACAACTCATTTAATCCTCCAACAAATATCACAATTCAAATCTTACATTGTTGTCTTTATATACATGTAAAGGTAAAGGTAAAGGTTACCTTGCCCGAAAGCCAGTCGAATCCGACTCTAAGGTTGCGGTGCTCATCTCCGTTTCCAAGCCGAAGAGCCAGCGCTGTCCGAAGACGTTTCCGTGGTCATGTGCAGTGTTCCCTCTAAGCTGAGTTAGTGTGAGCTAGCTCACAGTTTTTTAGCCTCCGCCTCACACATTTTTGTCTTAGCTCAGGAAGGATGGCTCCAGAGCAAACTAATTTATGCAGTTAACCCAATCGCTCGCTCACAACTTTAATGCCAGTAGCTCACCAAGTAGAATTTTTGCTCACAAGACTCCATAGCTTAGAGGGAGCATTGGTCATGTGGCCGGCATGACTAAACATCAAGGCGCACGGAATGCTGTTCCCTTCCCACCGAAGTGGTGCCTATTTATCTACTTGCAATTTCTTGCTTACGAACTGCTAGGTTGGCAGGAGCTGGAACTAGAGACGGGAGCTCACTCCGTCATGCGGCACCCGGGTCTCGAACTGCTGAAGTACCGATCTTCCTCAGCCTGCAGTTCAGCGTCTTAACCACTTGAGCCACCGCAGCTCCATTTATATACATGTAGTGTTTTCTTACAGCGTTCTGTGCGCCTTGGTGTTTAGTCATGCTGGCCACATGACCATGGAAACGTCTTTGGACAGTGCTGGCTCTTCGGCTTTGAAACGGAGAGGAGCACCGCAACCCTAGAGTTGGATTCGACTGGCTCTCGAGCAAGGGAACCTTTACCTTTAGTGTTTTCTTATAACTGATTTGTATTATCTTTTTAAAAGCACTGCCTTGAGGGCCCTCATTGGGTACGGAGACGGCAAAGGATATTTTTGGCCTGTGTCCCCCCACAATGATTAAGCTGTATACCAAGAGAAAGCACCTCTAATGCATCCACTAGTTGCGGCAAGGGCAGCGGAACTAGTTAAGACAGCATCTACTCCAACACGCAACACCCCAAGATGTCTGAGGCAGAGCATTCTGGGTCACTGTGGGCAAAACACTGTAAGGTCCTTTCCCAACATTTTGTTGCCCCATGGAAAAAAATGAATGAATGTGATCTAATATTACAAAAAAAAAAAAATTCCTTTGCCTGACCAGCAGTGTCTTCAGCATGTACCAACACAAAACTACTGCTGTGGGGAGAACAATGTACAAAGGGTGCCTGGGAATTTTTTCCAAAACAACCCCCCCCCCCCCAAGCGATTCTGAGTATGCATTGGGATGTAGCGAAATCAGCCCTAAAATAGAGAATGATGGACATGGAGAGACAGACAGATCCCGGTGGATGTCCTAAGTTTAGAGCCCCGGCTTCTGTCAAATATCGCGTGGAGGGCCGGCTCACTCACTAGGCGAACTAGGCATTCGCCTAGAGCGGGCCGGCCCTTAGGGGTGCCAAACTGCACCCGGCCCCCCCACCACCAAAAGCCCCCCCTGCCGAAAGCCCTGCATGCATCTAGTCCCTGACCGGGGGGGGGGCCGCTGTGAAGGGACAGGGCGCACGCAGCTGGGGGGGCGGTTCCCCAGGGGGGAAAGGGGACGGGGGGGGAGAGAGAAAGCAGAAGGGCCACCCTCCGAAGAGCCTTGTAGCCCCCTCTCCCCCACACCCGATGCACCCAGCTTAGCACCCGTTTTGAGCGCCGGAGAGGAACGCGGCGGCGGGGAGACACAAGGTGGGGGGGCGCCACAAGGCAGCCTCGCCTGGGGGGTGCTAGTTTCGCCTAGGGCACCGAAAAACCTCGAGCCGGCCCTGATCGCGTGCAACCCATGTTTTATTTATCGCATCTCGATAGTCACAAGTCTAAAAAAGCCTTCAAATCAGACAGATGTGAGGCTTTCCCCTCCGCGATGCTTGAGGGCAGTGTAAGGATCAGAACTTACAGATCTCGAGGCTTTCATTAAGTGCGATCAAGCTGTACGTTTTTACAGGTCAGTTGCAGCCTGTCTGGGCCGAGCGTTAATTAAAACCACCCAGTGGCCTTGACCAGGACACAAGACGCTTTTATATGATTGTCAGCTATCTATCTATGGAGCTGCGGTGGCTCAAGTGGTTTAGACGCTGAACTGCAGGCTGTGGAAGGTCGGTAGTTCGGCAGTTCGAGACCCGAGTGTGCCGCGTGACGGAGTGAGCTCCCGTCTCTAGTTCCAGCTCCTGCCAACCTAGCAGTTTGAAAGCAAGAAATGGCAAGTAGATAAATAGGGACCACTTCGGTGGGAAGGGAACAGCGTTCCGTGCGCCTTGGTGTTTAGTCATGCCGGCCACATGACCACGGAGACGTCTTCGGACAGCGCTGGCTCTTCGGCTTGGAAACGGATATGAGCACCGCAACCCTAGAGTCGGATTCGACTGGCTTTCAAGCAAGGGAACCTTTACCTTTACCTTTTACAGCTATCTATGGGGAGGAGGCGATGAGGCCTTGGTGACGGGTGGTTTGATTACCCGGCGGAGGGAAGCCTGCAAGTATTTGATGTCTCAGAGATTCAGCCTCTGCCCGGCACAAGTAATTGAAGTCCCCCCCCCCCACTGTCATGATTTCAGAGTGATTCCCTGCATAGCAAACACTCTTGATTGCTTGAATGATTGAATAAAGGCAGAAGCGGCTTTTAATCTGCTGTGTTGGGAGTATTTGCTGAGCGCCTGCTTACATCCTCGAAGGGAACCCAGAAGCAAAAAGCCTTAACAAAGGACCAGGACCCGGTGAGAACCCCGAAGCCCCCAGGTGGCTGTTGAGTTCAGCGCCAGAGAGTGGGAGAGGGACTGTCCTTGGTCCAGACAGGCAGATTCAAAAGGACCCCTATTGAATATAGATTTTGCCAATGTGGCTCAGGTGAGATAGAAACTCAATACATTACAGAAACTATCCAGCACATGATGCTCAGATGTAACTGGTATAACAAGATCTGTGACAAATATATTACTCCTCTCATAACAGATATGGTGGGACAAACAGGTGCTGAGCGGTGTAAGCGATAGTTAATCGACGGGAACCGGAGAATTACTGAAACTGTGGCGAAATTTTTGGGGGTAGCGGGCTACTACATTCAAAATACACGATCAAATATATAATAATAGTTGCCTAGTAGTCTCTGTCTTATGCTTTTCCTTTATTCTATTAGGCACGACTGTATTTTTATAGAGTTTTATTTTTACACCGGTTTTCTATATATATATTGTCTTAAATTCAGTTATATGAATGTTATATTTAAGCATGTGCATTCTATGGCTTGTTGTCGTAATAAATGCAACCAAAACAATGGTTTGCACTCCTATGGCACCATTATTACAGTACTGGCCCCAAATATTAGACAGTCCAGGGGTCATTTCCTGTGGGAGCGCACAGGAGCGGAGCTCCGGCAGTAAGGAGCCCAGGGGGCGGGCACATGCAGCAAGCCCCGCCCCCTGCTCCCAGCAGCCCCCAGTCGGGCCACGAGGAGCAAGAAGCAGCCAGGTAAGTTGCAGAGCTCAGCATCCATCATCATAAAATAATAAAGCTGCCATTTTCTACTTTACTGTACTAGGAAACAAACACAAATATTACACAGCAGAGGTTGAGTCCCGTGGGGGCACCTTTAAGACCAACAAAGTTTTATTCAAGGAACAAGCTTGCATACTCATGCACACGAAAGCTTATATCCTGAATAAAACTTTGTTGGTCTTAAAGGTGCCCCCACTGGACTCAAACTGTGTTCTGCTGCTTCAGACTAACACAGCTGCCCATCTGAACAAATAGGTCAGAGCAGGAGTGGGCCTTGGCATCTGCCCCACCCTGCCCAGTGCTGACACGGGCACTGAGCAGGATTGCCTCCCCCCCCCCCCCCCGAGATACAACAAACGTTCCTGGACTCAAGAGAGTTTTGAATAAGTCCTAAGCATTGCTCGGACTTTTAACTGGGAACGCAGGTGGCTGAAGGGAGAGGCTAAAGGCTTTTCTACATCCTCCTTTGCCTCCCTTGTAAGTTCCTGTTTCTTTGGGGGAGGGGTTTCCTGTTCTGCATGCGTTTTGCTCCCTCTAGTGGTCAACCTAATATTACATCGGTTTTATGTCCAGCATAAAGACCCGCAGTTTAAATCTGCAGGGAGATATGCCTGACAGAAACCACTGTGATATCGAAATGACCACCAGAGGGAGCAAACGTGGAGAACAGGAAAATAAACCCAGTGAAACAAGAACTTAAAAACCCTTAGAAAGCGCTCTCTTGCTCTCTTGTTCTCTCTCTCTCTCTTTCTCTCTCGCTCTCTCTCGCGCGCATGCGCTCTCTCTCTCTCGCGCGCATGCGCGCTCTCTCTCTCGTGCGCGTGCGCTCTCTCTCGCTCTCTCTCTCGCGCTCTCTCTCTCTCGCAAGTGTGCGCTCTCTCTCTCTCTCTCTCGCTTTCTCCCTCTCTCTCTCTCTCGTCCCTTTCAAACTCAGGGGGCTGGATCCATGGGTGTATTCCACTAACAGTGGTGATTCCCCCTGATGCAAGAGACTTCAAGGTACAGCTCCTTGCGCTGGGGACAGGCCCCTCAATTAACGTCCACAGAAACCACCCGAGGCTCATCCCGTGCAGGAGATTGTATGGAGGGCTTTCCCCCATTCCGCTACTCACTGAGAAGACCCGTTCAGGGTGCCCCTTGGCTCGCATGTTGGTGTCATGAACCTGCTTCAGAACCATCCAAGCTTCATCGTGCTTCCCGTTCTAGAGAGACAAAGAGGAGACGCTGAAATGGAAAATCCCTCCTCTCTTCTGCGGGGGGCAAAGCCAAAGTGGTGAGCCAAAGTGGACAGCCGATCTGCTGGCATCCCCAGGGAACACCGCTGGGGTCCTCAGGGCTGCCCTCCACACTCGGTTTCAGGGCCGAGATGTGGCCTCTTGAATGGCACCGCAAAACGGGAAACCGTGGCCAGTGACCGAATGGCTTATTTATATTTATTGACATATCTGTCCCTCACCTTCCCTATCATCACACAATGACTCAAAGCATCTTAAATATCTACCTTGTGCAAAGCACTCCATACTTGCAAGATACACGGGACTGTACGATTTTGAAAAACAAAGGAAAAAAAATACATACATGTGTGTTTCTTCTAAGCGACAAAGTCCCCGGAGGGGGAGAGAAAGGCCGTGTGAAAATGCACAAGCAGATACCTAAGATAAGAAGTAATGGAGTAGGAGGTCCCCAAAGCCATGTCCAGAGGTACCACCACGATACCTGCCAACACCTTTCTTGGTGCTGCTGAGGATTTTTAGAAAGTGAGGCTTCTGATTGGCCATTGGAGATTTAATTGGCCATGTAGATTTATTTATTTATTTTTAAATGTTCCTTTGAGACAGTTGCCGCCATTGGCTGAAGGTGAGCTGCAGCAGCCATTTTGTGGCTGGCCCTGCCTCCTTTGCCCCCTCCCCTCCAGCACCCCCCCCCCCATGTCTGGCCATACAATGGGCTGGGTCCCAATCCGTTTCTCTAAGGCATTACAAGGAGCCTTTCCCCAACGCAGGAGGTTTTATTCATGGGCACTCCATGAAATTAATGAGGAATAAGCTTAGAACAGGGCCTGTAAGACGGAGCTCTTCTGCCTGGCTTTCGAGTAGGAGCCGCCACCGCTGCACGACCACCACCAACTGGGCTGGGCAACATCGGGGGGGGGGTGAGTTGGCCCTGTGACAAATGAACGACAGCGCCGCCTGGAACCGATATCATCGATCTTGGACCATCACTACCAGGATGCCTTCCTGTGACTGAAGACCTTTTTGAGACACCAAGAGCACCTTGTATCGTGATAAATGACTATAAATGATTGCTTTATCTTGTTTTTAACTGTTTTAATTATTGGCATCCGTGCCCAGTCTGTGACCCGCCCTGAGCCCGCTTGCGGGGAGGGTGGGCTATAAATCTAATAATAAAATTTTAAAAATAAATAAGTTAAAAGGAACTTCTTCACCCAAAGAGTGATGAGCACATGGAATTCACTACCGCAGGAGGTGGCGGCGGCTACAAGCAGGGGACAGCTTCAAGGGGGAACTGGATAAACATATGGAGCAGAGGTCCATCGGTGGCTATTAGCCACAAGGTATAGATGGGAACTCTCGGTCTGGAGGGATGCTCTGTCTTCTTGGTGCGTGGGGGGGGGGCAAGTTTCTTGGGGGGGGGGGGGGGGGCAAGAGTGGGAGGGGTTTCTGGAGTTCTGGCCCCACTGCTGGACCTCCTGATGGCCCCTGGGGTTTTGGCCACTGTGTGACACAGAGTGTTGGACTGGATGGGCCATTGGCCTGATCCAACATTGGCTCCTCTTAGGTTCTTATAAACATATGGAGCAGAGGTCCATCAGTGGCTATTAGCCACAAGGTATAGATAGGGGCTCTGGGGCAAGGGATGCTCTGTCTTCTTGGTGCTTGCGGGGGTGGGGGGGACAGTGGGAGGGCTTCTGGTGTCCTGGCCCCACTGCTGGACCTCCTGATGGTCCCTGGTATTTTTGACCACTGTGTGACACAGAGTGTTGGACTGGATGGGCCATTGGCCTGATCCAACATTGGCTCTTCTTACGTTCTTATAAACATATGGAGCAGAGGTCCATCAGTGGCTATTAGTCACAAGGTAGAGATAGGAACTCTTAGGCTGGGGCAAGTGATGCTCTGTATTCTTGGTGCTTGGGGGGGGGGGCAACAGTGGGAGGGCTTCTAGTGTCCTGGCCCCACTGCTGGACCTCCTGATGGCACCTGGTATCTTTGGCCACTGTGTGACACAGAGTGTTGGACTGGATGGGCCACTGGCCTGATCCAACATTGGCTCTTCTTACGTTCTTATAAACATATGGAGCAGAGGTCCATCAGTGGCTATTAGCCACAAGGTAAAGATAGGAATTCTCAGGCTGGGGCAAGGGATGCTCTGTCTTCTTGGTGCTTGGGGGGGGCAACAGTGGGAGGGCTTCTAGTGTCCTGGCCCCACTGCTGGACCTCCTGAGGGCACCTGGTCTTTTTGGCCACTGTGTGTCACAGAGTGTTGGGTTGGATGGGCCACTGGCCTGATCCAACACTGGCTTCTCTTATGATTTTAAGAGGTCCTCTGAGCTGTGGGAAAGTGTCACGGCTAGATCGGTGGGAACCCCGCCCTCTCCGGGGGCCCCATTTACCTCCAAGAAGAAGCGTGGGCTCTCCGGCATGGTGGTGAGAGCCCCGATGGCAAAGACGGAGGGGAAGGCACAGACCAGGACGAAGACACGCCAGCTGTGGAACTGGTACGCAGAGCCCATTTGGAAGCTCCACCCTGCGGTGAGAGGGAGGAGCGGAGGTCAGAGGAAGGGAGGAGGAAACGGAGCACTCGTGACAGTGTTCCCTCTGAGCTGAGTGAGTGTGAGAGAGCTCACCGTTTTATAGCCTCCGGCTCACACGTTTTTGCCTTAGCTCAGGGAGGATGTGGCTCCAGAGCAAACTAATTGATGCAGGAGCCCAATCGCTCGCTCACAGCTTTAATGCCAGCAGCTCACAAAGTGGAATTTCTGCTCACAAGACCCCACAGCTTAGAGGGAGCATTGCTGGTGACCACAGACGGAAGGGGAGAACAAGCTCATTTGGGCACCTCAGGACAGACCACGGGCACCTGGAGGGCCCACCATAAGCTAGGGCTGCCAACCTCTAGGCGGGTTTTATAGCCAAAGGAGAGCTCATGGGAGGAGGTTGTATCAAGACACAAACACTCCATGAATAACTTACGGACAGAACTAGAAAGAATATATTATCCAAAGCAATTTTAACAATTTCTAACAGTTCAACTATTTGTCAAATTCAAACACTCTTATGATTTCTTAGAATCATAGAATAATAGAATGTTAGAGTTGGAAGGGACCTTGCAGGTCATCTAGTCCAACCCCCTGCACTCTGCAGGAGCAGAGCCGAAAGACGGCCCTACAACATGCCCGAAAGATGGTTGTCCAGCCTCCGCTCGAAAATGTCCAGCAAAGGAGCACCCACCACCTCCCGAGGCAGTCTGTTCCACTGCTCAAGCACCCTTACAGTCAGGAAGTGTCTTCTGATATTTAGCCGGTAACGACTCCCTTGTAATTTCCACCCATTAGATCTAGTCTTGCAATGGGGAGCAAGGGAGAATAGATCCGCTCCATCTTCTACACGACAGCCCTTCAAATACTTGAAGACTGCAACCATGTCCCCTCTAAGCCTTCTCTTTCCCAGGCTAAACAGACCCAACTCCTTCAGCCTTTCCTCATAAGACTTGGATTCCAACCCTCTCACTATCCTGGTTGCCCTCTTCTGGACATGCTCGAGCATGTCAACATCCCTCCGAAAATCTTGTGCCCCAAACTGGACACAGGACTCCAGGTGAGGCCTGACCATTGCATAACTTAAAGGATTAGGATCCAACAGTACTTGATTCAAAAGACAAAATCCAAGTAAAGTCCACTCATCTTTTGTATAAGACGCTTCAGGAGAGCAAAGGTTCCACAGGAAAACCAAAGTCCCACATTGTAGCTGCTACTCCTACAACGCTCCTGAAGCGTCTTATACAAAAGATTAGTGGACTTTACTTGGATTTTGTCTTTTGAATCAAGTACTGTTGGATCGTAACCCTTTAAGAAACCATAAGAGTGTTTGAATTTGACAAATAGTCGAACTGTTAAGAATTGTTGAAATTGTTTTGGATGATATATTCTTTCTACTTCTGTCCGCAAGCTGTACACGGAGTGTTTGTGTTCTGATACAACCTCCAGGTGATGCCTGGAGACCTCCCAGGATCTCCAGGCGACAGAAATCAGTCTGTCCAGAGAAAATGGCTCCTTTGGAAGGTGGACTCTATGGCGTGAGACCCTGCTGAAGCCCCTCCCCAAATCCCGCCCTCCTCACGCGCCACCCCCCAAATCTCCAGGTATTTCCCAACCTGAACCAGGGCAGCCCTGTTTCAGCCCGTGCAGACTCAGAAAATTACACCAGGTGCAAATTCAGATCCGTGCATTTCCAACCCTTGTGGCTTAGTGATCTTAGTGAGATGTGAAGGCCCGGAAAAAACCCGGAAAAATTCGGGGGGGGGAACTTTTTTTACCTGTTTTTTTCCTGAAGCCTTTTTTGTTTTTTTCCGAAAAATTGGAAAAATTGAAAATAGAACAGAAAAGACGAAAAAAATGATTATGGAACATTTTGTTTTAACATGATGAATGAAATATTTTAAGACAAGGTGTTCAAATATTTTCCAAATCATTTCTAAAAACTATGTATGGTATCAGATTGATCTCATTTCTGTGCACTGAGGACAAGCAAGTCCTAGGTTACAAACTGAACTCTCCAATGCAAGAACAAGATGCATTTCTTCCTTTAGGAGGTGCTATTGTCACAAGAAAAGAAAAAGGTTTCAGTTTTCTTTTTGCATGTGGGTGGGTATTCTGTTTGTAATAATTGTTTGGATACACTATATTTTTAATATGCTAGTTGTGATAATTTCATGCCGAGTAAAAATGTCCATAGTCATATTTTATGTTCCTAAAGTAACAGAATGACTTTCAAACCAGAAAAGACAAAAAAAATGCTAATGTAGCATTTTTTTTCAATTTTTCCGAAAATTTCCGTTTCCCCCCGAAAAAAACAAAAAAAAAAATGGGTTTTTTTCCGAGCTTCAAAATTTCCGGAAATTTTACATCTCTACACAGGACCCCACGACTTAGAGGGAGCAGGGGTCAGGACCAATGTTCCCTCTAAGCTGTGGAGTCTTGTGAGCAAAAATTCTACTTTGTGAGCTACTGGCATCAAAGTTGTAAGCAAACAATTTGGCTACTGTATAAATTAATTTGCTCTGGAGCCGTCCTCCCTGAGCTAAGACAAAAATGTGCGAGCCGGAGGCTACAAAACTGTGAGCTAGCTCACACTAACTCAGCTTAGAGGGAACACTGGTTAGGACAGCTTCTCCCGTGTGCCCTTCCCTGTGCCCAGGGTTGCCCGTCTCCGGGCGGAGCTTGGAGGTCTCCTACAGAGATCAGCTCCCCTGGAGAAAGTGGCTGCTCCGGAGGGTGGGCTCTAGGGCCCTGCACCCTGCCGAGGCCCCTCCCCTCCCCAAACCCCGCCCACCCCAGGCTCCACCCACAAAAGACCAGGAATCTCCCGGCCCAGAGTAGTCCGCAACTCTGTCTGCAGGCACCCACCGTAGTGCGGGATGATGGCCCAGGCCATGGCCGAGGCGTAGATGCCCCCGATCATCCAGAACATGCACAGCCAGCTGAGGTGCTCCCCCCGCTTCTCTTGGGCCAGGAACTCGGAGTAGTAGGAGAAGACGATGGGGATGGAGCCCCCGATGCTGCGGGAGAGGGAGAGACGGGTCAGCCCCCGCAGCCGAGCAACGATGCGGTCGACTCCCAGGCTGGACTCCTGGTGGGGCCGGACCACCTCGGGCCATGGGGGAAGCAGTTCCGGGCCGGGCCTGCCTGCTTCCGGCTGCACGGCGGGGTCACCGTTGCAAAAGCCACACACCCACCCACCCCGCATGTCCCAAAATATGTCCTGCCCGGGAAAACGTGGCCCAGCACAGAGAGGACGTGCTAAAAGTCAGACGGTCTCCCCTCTGGCACCCGAAACGGAGTGGCGCTTGCCAAACTGGGCACAGAGACGCTCTGAGCAGAAACCGCTACGAACCTTTCGCCATGACCTAGGGTTGCCAACCTCCAGGTAGAGCCGTCGGTAACAAAAGCAACCGTGATGTTGTATTATGAAAATATATTTAGGCTTCGGTTCTGCAGTGAATATATTTCTTCATCACCTTATGAAAACATACGCCACACACACACGCGACGGGAAATGCATAGAGACCGTTTCACCTGACAGCTTTTTCAGAGTGTCCTGCATGAATGACGCTTGTTCACACGTCGACAATACTAAATCCGCGAGCTGGCACAGAACATCCTTACCACTCCATTAAGGCAAATTCTTTCAGCGTTTCAGCGTTCTTGAAAAAGTGCAGAAAAGGGCAACTCGAATGATAAAAGGGTTGGAACACTTTCCCTATGAGGAAAGGTTAAGGCGCTTAGGGCTCTTTAGCTTGGAGAAACGACGACTGAGGGGGGACATGATCGAGGTTTATAAGATTATGCATGGGACAGAGCAGGTAGAGAAAGAGGTACTTTTCTCCCTTTTTCACCATACAAGATCTCGTGGGCACTCCATGAAATTGCTGAGCGGTCAGGTTAGAACGGATAAGAGGAAGTCCTTCTTCACCCAAAGAGTGATGAACACATGGAATTCACTGCCACAGGAAGTAGTGGCGGCTACAAGCATGGATGGCTTCAAAAGGGAATTAGATAAGCATATGGAGCAGAGGTCCATCAGTGGCTCTTAGCCACAAGGTATAGATAGGGGCTCTGGGGCAAGTGATGCTCTGTCTTTTTGGTGCTTTGGGGGGGGGGGTCAACAGTGGGAGGGCTCCTAGTGTCCTGGCCCCACTGGTGGACCTCCTGATGGCACCTGGTATTTCTGGCCACTGTGTGATACAGAGTGTTGGACTGGATGGGCCTTTGGCCTGATCCAACTTTGACATCTCTTATGTTCTTGAATACTTGAACACTGAAAGGATTTGTCATTCACGCAGCACACTCTGAGAAAGCTGTCAGGTGAAACGGTCTCTATGAATTTCCCGTCGTGTGTGTGCGGCGTACGTCATCATAAGGTGATGAAGAAATATATTCACTGCAGAACTGAAGCCTAAATACATTTTTGTCATACAACATCACGGTTGCTTTTGTTATTGGCTGCGTCCTTCCCGTGACCTCCCTGTTGTTTCTACACCTGCCTCCAGGTCAGGCCTGGGGATCTCCTGGAATCACCACTGATCTCCAGAGCACAAAAATCTGTTCTCCTGGAGAGGGCTGCTTTGGAAGGGTGGACTCTATGGCATTACGCCCTGCTGAGGACCCTCCACTCCTCAAACCCTGCCCTCCGCAGGCTCCTCCCCTGAATCTCCAGGAATTGTCCAGCCCAGAGCTGGCAACCCTGCCCCAGACACTATTTTCCAGGCAATGGGGCTGGCCCACGCTCCACCCCACAGAAAGCACTGCAGATCCCCCAAAGTGGTGTTTAGGGCACAGCTTAGCTCCCCAGAAGATCCACTGTTTGTCTCAAACACACGCCAAGTTCCTAGCCCTCAGGAGGTCAGAGGGAAGTCCGACGGAGTGTGGCCAACCGATGCCGGCCCGGGGAGGGCGTCCTTCCAGCAGAACCGAGGACCGGACGGTGTCCTTACCCCACGCCGGAGAGCAGCCGGCAGAAGAGGAACGTGCCGTAGCCCTGGACGAAGGACGAGAAGAAGGCGAAGACACTGTTGACGGAAAGGGACATCAGGAGGCATTGCCTGCGCCCCAGCCGATCCGCCAGGCCGCCCCACAGGAACGCGCCGACCATCATCCCCAGGTAGACTATGAGGCCTGGGGGGAGGAAGGGAAGGTGAGGCAAAGAGCGCCGACTGCCGGACACCAGCCCGCCCGCCCCGCCCGCCGTGGCCACACTGTCCGTACAATCTGTTGTTGTGCTAAGGGAGACCTCGGCTCCCGGCTCCCCAGGACCCCGGGGGGCTCTTCCAGGTAAGGAACAAGCTCCATGACCCAGAAAACTGTTGAAGTGAGCGACTCCGCGTGCCTGGACACTGGGGGGGGGGCGCTCTATATCACTCTTAAGGGTGTTATAGGTGTTCTCTCCTTGAATGGGATGCCTCTCTCTGTCTTAACCTGGGAGCTGCCCTCTGACCCCCTCCTCTCTCTCTCTCTCTCCCTCCCTTTGTCCTCTCCCGCACTTCATGGCCTTCCATGGAGACTCTCTCCTGCACAGACGATGCCCTCACACTCCCACACACACAAGCTGGCCACTGGTAACAGGGAACGTTCTCTTCCGACTAGGCTTCCTTCTCTTCTTTTGACTGCAACCTGAGTGTGAACTGGATCCACCCGAGTAAATGCTTTGCAACATATTTCTTGGGAGATTTACTGGCTGCACTCCGGATCGGGCCTCTGTGATGGGGCCTGCTCTGCCGGGTTAACCAAGTATCCCAATAAGAACATCGTCTCTCCCGATGCTCCATTTCCCCATCAGAAAACCTGAATGGACCTGAGCAGGTGTTCTGGGTCAAGCCACAGAAAGACCGGAGCCCAGAGGGTGCCCTGGAGGCCCTTTGTTCTTAGGTAGAAGCAGGGGCCATTTCTGTGTTATACCTCTGAGGGTGCCAATCACAGCTGCTGGTGAAACAGCAGGTCCTACCAGGGGCCATTTCCAGCAGGAGCGCACAGGAGCGGAGCTCCGGCAGTAAAGAGCCCAGGGGGCGGGCACATGCAACAAGCCCCACCCCCTGCTCCCAGCATCCCCGGGGCCACAAGGAGCAAGAAGCAGTCAGGTAAGTTGCAGTGGGTGTTGCCTTCTGACACACTTCCGGTGATGCCAGGGGGTGTGGCACATGCAAATAAGTTATGCTAATGAGTTATGCTATTGAGCTCCTGCACCTTTTTCTACGAAATGACCCCTGGGTAGAAGGATTGTCCCCCCAAACCCCCCCCCCCACATCTCCCACCTTCTTGGCCACCTTCTGCCAGCCCAGCAAGGCTCACCCAGGGCAGATCAGGTCCAGCCAGTTTTGGAGAGGAGGAGTCCACTGCCAGCCCCACTGTTCCACCCCACCCATTCCTTTGGAAGGAGCTGGCTAGCTGGGAGGGGGCTGCTGCTTGTGTCCCCTGGGGGTGGCCCAGGATGACCCGCATTGTATTTTCAGACCGCCTCTTTCTCAAGGGCCCCCAAGGAGAGGAAGACCAGACCCTGTGGTCAATTCAGGACAGAGGGAAAACACACAACCCTGTCTTTGGTGTTGTGGTGAAGTGCGCGGACACTAATCTGGGGAGAACCGGGTTTGATTCCCCACTCCTCCACTTGCACCTGGCTGGATGACCTTGGGCAAGCCGTAGTTCTGATCAGTCCTTGAAAAAGAGCTGTTTCTGTCAAGAGCTCTCTCAGCCCTGCCAACCTCACAGGGTGTCTCTTGTGCGGAGAGGAAGGGAAAGGAGTTTGTAAGCCGCTCTGAGACACCTTTGGGTAGTGAAGGGTGGGGTAGAAATCCAATCTCTTCTTCTTCTTCTTCTTCATTTTCCAATCTAACCTGGAACACCGTCACTCAATTTATTGACTGATTGATTTGATTTATATTCCGCCCTCCTCTGGGACACAGGTCTCAGGGAGGTTACAACACTGAACGAAACAGTCAGCTTATAAAACTTAATTCAATAACAAAAATTACTCAACAATCGCCAACAAATCACAGCATTCCAAGATGAAAATCAGGATTTCAGCCTGCAGTCTCCAAGCAGCCAGGCAAAGAGAGCGGGCACTATCCTGCCGATACACCAACGTAGATGGCGTGAGATCGGAATAAGATGGAACAATATAAGGCAGGACGAGGACTGGTCGCCCAGATGGCTTTAAGACGCATTCGTGGAGGAGGAGTGGTCCATCTGTGGCCACGAGCCCCGATGGCTCAATAAAGCTTCCATGTTCAGAGGCAGTGTACACCTCAAAACTGGGAGGAGGCTGAGGGGGGACATGATCGAGGTTTACAAGATGATGCATGGGACAGAGCAGGTCGAGAAAGAAGTACTTTTCTCCCTTTCTCACAAGACAAGAACTCGTGGGCCCTCCATGAAATTGCTGAGCGGTCGGGTTAGAACAGATAAAAGGAAGTACTTCTTCACCCAAAGAGTACTGAACACGTGGAATTCACTGCCACAGGAAGTGGTGGCGGCTACAAGCATGGACGGCTTCAAGAGGGAATTAGATAATCATATGGAGCAGAAGTCCATCAGTGGCTCTTAGCCAAGGTATAGACAGGAACTCTCGGTCTGGGGCAAGGGATGCTCTGTATTCTTGGTGCTTGGGGGGGTGGGCGAGAGTGGGAGGGGCTTCTAGTGTCCTCCTGGCCCCACTGCGGGTCCTTCTGATGGCACCTGGTATTTCTGGCCACCGTGTGACAGAGTGTTGGACTGGATGGGCCATCGGCCTGATCCAACACTGGCTTCTCTTATGTTCTTATGTCAAGAGCAGAGGTCCATCAGTGGCAGCCACAAGATATAGATAGGGACTCTGGGGCAAGTGATGCTCTGTCGTCTTGGTGCTTGGGGGGGGGCAGCAGTGGGAGGGCTTCTGGTGTCCTAGCCCCACTGCTGGACCTCCTGATGGCCCCTGGTATTTCTGGCCACCGTGTGACAGAGTGTTGGACTGGATGGGCCTTTGGCCTGATCCAACACTGGCTTCTCGTACATTCGTATGAGGCTCCCATGGGAGGGTCACCCTTCGTCCCCTGCTTGCCTGCATCCCAGAAGTATCTGTGAGGAACAGGATCCTGGAGTATGGCCGAGGTTTGTTACCAAAAATTGAGTACGTGAAGGTTGGAGGGAAAGATAAAGAGGTGGCCGTGAGACAAGGGAGGATTTGCGAGACAAAGTCACCCAAACATCTGACAGCTGAGGCAAGCTTCCTTCCAGAACTTGTGCCACCCAGAATGGTATAGAGTGTGGAAGGAAGGATTACGTCCCCTTCAGAGGAAGGCATCCTCCATGTTTCTGCATGGAGCCGAGCATCCCCCCCCCCACCCCGCCTGGAAGGAGGCCAACCATGAACAGCAATTCAAGCAGGTATGCAACAGGCAGCCTCCTCTGAGGTCAGGCAACCAAGCTGTATCTCCACCATCAACTGAATCATCTACTCACACCCAACACAGTAATGGAGAAGAATAAGCCACACACACACACCCCAGCAGAGGTCCTGGAAGCACAGTGGCAAGGCCAGAGCAAGGCCTCATGCAGAGATGCAAAGAGAACCTCCTTGGGCCTGCTGGGAGGTTTTTATTATATATTTTGTGTCTTTCACTTCAACCAGTGCTCTGAGCCCCCTTGCCTACTGGACAAGGGCTTCCATGATGCAGCACGTTAATCTCAAGCAGTTATGAGCCCCCGTGCTTCTCGCATGCGTCCATCGCACCTTCTCCATCTCAGCGCCAGGTACCTCTCGCATGCAACCCTCGCGCTTTCTCCATTGCAGCCCCAGATTTCATGACTTCCGAAGGCAATTACAGCTCAAAGTTTCACTATAAGAGGGACCGATTTGGTGTAGCGGTTAAGAGCGTGGACTCTAATCGGGGAGAACTGATTCCCCACTCCTCCTCCACATGCAGCCAGCAGGGTGACCTTGGGTCAGTCACAAGTTCTTTCGGAGCTGTTCTCTCAAAGGCAGTCCTCAAAAGAGCTCTCTCAGCCCCACCTACCTCACAGGGTGTCTGTTGTGGGGAGGTGAAGGAGATGGTAAGCCGCTCTGAGACTCCTTCGGGTGGGCTGAGATAAATAAAATGAATTTCAATAGAGAGAAGTGCAAAGTCCTAAACTTAGGTACAAAAAATCAAAGGCACAGATACAGAATGGGAGGAACTTGGCTTGACAGCAGCACATGTGAAAGGGATCTAGGTGTTCTGGTTGATCACAAGCTAAACATGAGCCTGCAGGGCTATGTGGCTGTGAAGAAAGCGAATGCAATCTTGGGATGCATGAACAGAAGCCTTATGTCCAGATCAAGGGAGGTGGTCGTTCCGCTCTATTCTGCTATGGTCAGGCCTCACCTGGAGTCCTGTATCCAGTTTTGGGCACCACATTTTAGGAAGGATGTCGACAAGCTTGAGCGTGTCCGGAAGAGGGCAACCAGGATGGTGAGAGGGTTGGAATCCAAGTCTTACCGGGAAAGGCTGAAAGAGTTGGGTCTGTTTAGCCTGGGAAAGAGAAGGCTTAGAGGGGACATGACTGCAGTCTTTAAGTATTTGAAGGGCTGTCAGGTAGAAGATGGAGCGGATCTCTTCTCTCTTGCTCCACATTGCAAGACTAGGTCTAATGGGTGGAAATGACAAGGGAGTCGTTACTGGCTAGATATCAGGAGAAACTTCCTAACTGTGAGAGTGGTTGAGCAGTGGAACAGTCTGCCTCGGGAGGTGGTGGATGCTCCTTCGCTGGACGTTTCCAAGCGGAGGCTGGACGACCCTCTTTCGGGTATGTTGTAGGGCTCTCTTTCGGCTCTGCTCCTGCAGAGTGCAGGGGGTTGGACTAGATGACCTGCAAGGTCCCTTCCAACTCTAACATTCTATGATTCTATGATTCAGTCTCATCTTCTTTAAATAAGAAAAAAAGCCCAAACTCTCCCCCCAGTCTAACCCCACAGCTGCTGTCCACACAAGCTCAGACCAATCACTGCTGCAGCTAAAAGATGGTCAGAAAACATTTTAGGTGTGAATCATACAATTTTTTTTTTTAATCGTCGGGGAGGCCAGGGCCTCCGACAGTGGCATCGTTTAGGGCTGCCTCCCGTGCCATAACCCAGCCTGGGAAGGAGGCAGGAGGGGCAAGCCCTCCTG